GAATTTTTAAAGTTTTCTAGGTGGATGTTCAGATGAGTTCGCTTTTATTGATTCCATACAAGATAGATAGATATTAGAGCCTAAAGTTTGGTGGAGCAATCATAGTGCTGATACTCCTAAACTTCAAGGGACTGCATTAAAATTTCTCAATCAATTATGCCCATCATCTTGTTGTGAAAGAAATTGGAGCACTTATTCTTTTGTTCATTCACTAAAGAGAAACCAGATGCTTCTAAAAAAAAGCAAAAAATTTAGTTTTTGTTCATTCAAATCTTCTTCTTCTTTCAAGAAAGAGTGAGAAGTATTCCATTGAAGAAAGTAAATTGTAGGATATTAGTGGAGATTGTTGGAAAATAGATGATGTTGAAAATCTTGAAGTTGCAAGTTTAACTCTAGATGAGCCAATTTTGGAGAAAGAACTTATAGGAGAAAGTGGTACTGTCAATAAAGATGGGGAATATTAGAATTATTTTAAGTTGATAATTATTTTTTGCCACTTGGTAGCGTTTAAGTGCTTAACTACTTTTGTATCATATTTTGTGACGGCATTAAACATCTTTTCTAGATTTTTGGACATTCAAATATTTAATATTTAATATTTAATTATTTATATAATCATACCTGTATCTTAATATTTTGAAAAATTGCCGCGTCCACATATCATATTGTATCATATCCGATACTTGTACCCATATCGGTGTTTCTTAGTGCAAAATTTTACATTTATAGGCTGGCACATCTGAGACATCCCATTAAGATCTACACAGTACACAGACTAGAATTTTGGGTGGTTCAGGAATCATAAATCTGAGTATATATAAATTGACATTCAATTATTGCTTTCAATTTTCTATTAAATATTTCCAGCAAATAGACTATGTAATAAACATGAAGTGTCACCTCAATGATTATATTGGATCTTTTAAGCAAATTCAGATTCATTTTCAAGGAATTTGCAATTTTTATAATTTAATTTAGATTACCGAGCGTTATCATAGTATGAAATTGAGTGAAAACTGAGTGTTAACGTTCAACAACGGAACACATTACATGTATTGGATTTATTATTTTATTTTTATTCAACAAAATTCATCCATCGACAGCTTTAAGAAAAGTTACCCATAACAGTTATGGCTGCAGCCAGATCTTGATTTGTCCTCTTGGGTAGCAAGAAGGCTCACAATTATTCCCTCAATGACGAAAAGCAAAGCGGAAGTGGACCAACATTGGACTGCTTCATGGCCATGCCCCTTGCTTACAGACACGAGATAAAATTCACAAATTAAAAACTGTGCCATTAGAATGGGCTGGGAAAAACATGCTTATATCTCGGATGCTACGCTCCATTTCAGAAGACTAAATAGACCCAGGAATCTAAAAAAACTTAGATTTTCTAAGGTCGACTGGGACAGTCTTATTTCTGCGAATGAATCTCTCATTATGGAACAATTCAATTACTGTTGATGGCATCAGGCAAAGAAACCTATGCTAATGATAGGGTGCACAAAAGAGATTAGGCGGTTGAACACACCCTGTGCTGTTCACAGTGATATTCTTGTACGATGATATAAAACAAGCACTTGCACAAAAGTCTCTAGGTGAGTTCAAATATGTCAGAGAGAAGAGAGAAACAGGTCAATCAAGGAGTTGCAGTCAAAATGAAACAAATGAAGTCCAGACAAATAGACCCAAGGATAGATAAAAAATTCATCTTAGTTCATTTTGAATACTGTATTTTATCTTAACATTTTTTTAATTTAATAAATATTAAAAAATACAAAAAATATAAAAATAAAATTTAATCCTTTTTTAGGATTATATTTTCAAAAATAATCTTGCTTAATTTTTTTTAAAAAAATCTCTCTCAAATTATCCCAACTATTCAAAGATATTGAGAATCAATTTTTTTTGAGACTCAACTATTTTTAAATTTCTCTCCTTAAATCTTTTTTTTTCCATTTATGTTTTAAAATTAGACTTTTCTTTCTCTTCCTTAATCCAATTAATAAAAAAGGTATTAAAGAATGGCTAAAAAAAAAGAAACAGATACATGCAGCATGAACACACGAAACACACGCGCACACACACACTTTCGGCCATGCAGCAAAAAAAAGAAGAAAATAGCAGAAACAGAGACACAAAACAGCAGTAAAGAAGCATGCATGAAGCACAGACCACAGAGAAAAGCATAGAAACGCAGAAGAAAATTCAGACGCATGCACACAGCAGAGCAGAGCGAGAAAGCACGTAAACTCTCACCTCACACGCAAGCTCTTCCCTGTTTCTGCTTTAAAAGGGAGAAGGACTATTCTGCTTAAGGAGAGAGAAGGACTATTCCGACTAAAAAAGGGAGAGGGACCGAGAAGGAGACGAGCTTTTTCCTGAAAAAAAAAGAGTGGGAGAGCAGGAGCAAGAGACCGAGAGAGATGAGTCTTCTTCTGAAAAACAAAGACTGACTAGACCAAGGAAGGAGACTGATCCAAAACTGAAAAAAAGAGCCAAAAATGCGAGAGAGAGAGCCAGAAATGAGAAGCAGAGATGGTGAAGACAAAAACAGAGTAAAAACACACTGGTAACGGGACTTTCAGCAAGATGAGAAAAGGAAGGGAAGAGAGAGACTAAGAGAGAGCAAAATAGAGCATAAAAGATGCAGGAGAGAGAGGGAGAAAGAGACTAAGAAAGAGAAAGCACGAGACCGAGAGAGGAGGAGCAAAACACAGCTAGATGAAAAATGAAGAAATAAAATAAATCATGAACAAACCAGAAAACTCAAAAGGAGGAGAGAAAAATTGAGGAAAGAAAGCACAAAAAAAACAGAGCACACACATGAGGTTGGAGGGAGAGCAAGAGAGAGAGACAGAGATGGAGAATGAAGAGGAAGCTACAATAAAGAGCTTCACGTTGTTGGAAGGGGACCTCATTGACATCACTACCATCTCCTTTCCTGCGGATTTTACTTGAAGCTGTGAAAGTATTGCTTCTAAGAGTGCTTAGACCAAGTTAGTGACATTCAACTATGGCTTCGTCCTCAAGTGAGATTATGCTATCTTCGAAGGTTTGGGCTAACTTGTTACTATTTCACTTTTACTTTAGTAATTGAATATAAAAATTAAAAGTGGCTTCGTGTTTCATGGTCTAATAAACTATGGTTGATTATTCATAGTGGTTCAGATTAATGGTTTCTCAATGCCATTTTGTTTTAAAGTTTTCAAATAATGCACTTCATGATTCTGGGTCACAAATTATTACTTTCAACTTCACTGTCTCTACAATTATTAATTTGTTTTATGTCTTATTGATTGTGATGAAACAATTATTATAATTACAATGATAATTTTTTCTACCTGTGGCTTTGGAGTTTCATTTCATTACAGTCATAATTTCCATGGTGACTATTTATATTTATCATATTGCAGTGTTCTAATTTCTTCTTTTACATGCCCTGCATAATTTCTTCTTGCTTGTCATTTGCTGTTGGGGTCACGGATGTTGCGATTATTAATTTGTATATATTGCCCATTATTGAAATTAATTCTCTCTTTATACAAAATATTTAAGTCTCATGTGAGATTTCAAGAATCTTCGTAGAGACTTAAATTAATCACGTTATCGTGTAGGATAATAAATCCTCACAGATATTGTGATTCACAATTTTTATGGTAAATAAATAAATAAATTTTGTAAATAAAATAAAAAACTTATAATTTTAATTAATTAAATTAATTAATTTAAATTATAATTATATTTACCCATTATATCTTTTGGTCATGTGAGATTTTTGAAACTCCGTAGACCTTTAAGATAATCGTACTACCGCATGAGTCAATAAGGTTTCGCAGGTATAACGATTAAGATTTCTATATTAAAAAATATGTGTTATATAATTACATATTAAAATATATTTAAAGTGAATATTATTTAATTCTTTTATTGTGTGAGACTTTGAATCTCTGTAGATATTCAGGATAATCTCGTGTCGTGTAAATCAATAAGGTTTCGCAGATATAAAAATAAAACTTATATATTAATATGGGTTCAAAGGGCCCATCATTAAATTTAACTCTCTTTTTATAACCCAAATTAATAATTTATTTAAGTCTCATGTGAGATTTCAAGAATTTTCATAGAGATTTAAATTAATCACTTCATCGTGGGGATAATAAGTCCTCACAAATATAGTAATTATCAATTTCTATAATAAATAAATAATTTTTGTAAATAATCATATAATACACAATTTAAAAAATTAATTAACCAAATTAATGTGTTTAAATTGTAATTACATTTACCGATTATATTTTTTAATTATGTGAGATTTTTGAATCTCCGTAAACTTTTAAAATAATTGTATTATCGTATGAGTCAATAAGACTCTGCAGATATAACGATTAAGTTTTTAATATATAAATTATATAAAAGATGTATTTAAATTTAATTCCTTTATCGTGTGAGGTTTTAGAACCTTCGCAGATATTTAGGATAATCATATTACATATAAGCTAATAAGGCTTTGCAGATATGTTGATTAAAATTCTTCAAAACATGCATCTACATGCTAAAAAAATTATTATCAACTCTTAAAAATGTACATAAGAATATAAATAAATAAATTAAATTGCCAAACTCTTTTATCGTGTGAAATTCAAGAATCTCCACAGATATTTGGAGCAATCGCATTATCGTATGAATCAATAAGGTTTTGCAGGTACTGCGATTAAAATTTTCAATCATAAAACATAAAGAATAATAATTTTAAGCCCTTTTCTTTTCTTTAATTTGAAATTCAAAAATTAAAAAAATAATTAAAATTAAGTTACTTCTTGTAATTTAAAACATACATCAAAATTTTAGAAATTGTTTTATTTGCAAAATGGTGAATTATTTTTAATTAATTTTCTTTTTAAAAAATATTTTTACCAACAAACTTTTAAGCCCGAACTACGTGGACTTTGATCCCCATCACAGGGTACGTAGGCCTCAGAGTCAAATTCTGAGTCAAGTCTGTCCTCCCTCATAAATAAATAAACATTTCTCACATAATTCTTATCATTTTTATCAGACACATGAATACAAAAGAGATAATTAAAATAATTATAAAATCATATTTAAAGAGCACAACAAATTTCAGGTAACCGTTCTGACGAACGGGTGTTGTGAGGTGCCTAACACCTTCCCCACACTCAACCGACTCCTGAACCTATTCTTTGATTTCGTGGACCACCCTGATCCTCCTTTTAATCAGTTTCCTGAGATTTATCTCAAAATCTTGGTGGCGACTCCTCGTTCGATCTGGTTTCCGCCGCGAAGGCCGAGACCTCCGCTCACGCGCAGTCCGCGTCGCATTTTTCCAGGTGCGACATTCATCATTAGCTGTTTCTCATTTATATGACATTGATCAACTACAGTAGCATTATGTTGGGAAAGAATTGAGAGGAAATAAGCCACTTTGATTTAAAAACACCAGCCAAGCACAATCAATGCAAATTCAACGAAAATAATGACAGCCTGAAAAGAAACAGAAGAAAAAGAATAAACAATTTACCTATAAACCAAATTTGAATGTACTTCAGAGGGTTTTGTGTTCAGAGTGGATGTTGGCAGAAAAAAATTGTAAAGATTTAATTCCACCAATTATAGGAGTGCTAAAAACAACTTGCTGCTGCATGTGTTGTTTCTATATCTCTGCCAAAGGCCACAAGTGTCCCCATAATTCCTTCTCTAATATTGAGTTCCTCTCTACTTCTAGGTTGCAAATATGGAGTTGTTTTTGGTGCATAAATGAGAACTAGGTTTCTAAATGCTTCTCTCGCTCACATCTTCTATTCTTCTTCTGTAATGTAATACTAATGTGTCCCAAACCAGAATCACAGCAAAGAGTAATAAATAAGACAGCAACAGCAATAAATATGAGAGGAAAATACTTAGGTTTTGATATTAATGTGATGAATAACCGAATCAAATGTACATGGGAACTCTGATTCTGGCCCAAAACCCTATTTCCTCAAAAAGAAGATAAAACACTCTAGCAATACAGATTACAAGCTTCAACATAAGAGTCTCACTCCCATTGGCATTCGAGAGGCCAATCTCTCCTTACTATTCCACTCTCATTCTCCTCGGCCTTCCCTTCCTAAACAAAAGACTACTAATACCTTCAGTGGTTGACACATAGCCCATACTATCCAAAAGATCTCAATCATTACAAAAGATCACAAAATACTGTTCTTTATAGCTATGGACTGAAGGGTAAACTTTTGGACTAGTTCAAGTATTTCCACTAGAGTTATTCTTCCCCTTTGACTTCCTCTGATATGTCTTAGGAAAATAACGGGCCCTATCATCACCCTCCCTTAAAAGCTCCATCTTGTCCTCAAGGGGAAAAGTTGGAAACTGTTTGCAAATTGCTTCTGCACATTCCCAAGAGTTCTCAAATTCAGGTAAGCCTTGCCATTTAACCAACACTTCTCGCTATTCATTCATAAGCCGGCGCACGTTTCTAATATCTTGAGGCTGCACTTGTAATTCAAACTTAATAGAAAGCATCGGAGGGATGGTAGGCTGTGCCACAGCAGCTGAAACTGTTTGTTTGAGCTGAGAAACATGAAATACGGGGTGAATGCGGGCGGTGGTTGGAAGTTCCAGCTTGTAGGCCATTGTTTCGATCTTCTTAAGAACCTTGAAAGGTCCATAAAAACGCGGGCTGAGCTTCTCATTGCTCCTCTTGGCTAAGGTTTTTAGTCGATAAAGGCGAAGCTTCACATAAACAAAGTCCCTAATCTCAAATTGCACGTCCCGGCGATGCTTATCAGCTTGCACCTTCATTTTACTTTGAGCCTTAGCTAAATTGTCCCGTAATTGTTCAATGATCTGATTTCGAGCTTGAATCTGTTCATTCACATCTTCCACAATTGAAGGGTTTGCAACTAAATTTTAGAAATGTAGGTGGATCCTGGCCATATACCACCTTGAAAGGTGTCATGCCAGCCGCACTGTGGAATGAACTATTGTACCAATATTCAGCCCAAGACAACTATTTAGCCCATTGAGTTGGTTTTTCATTAGCAAAACAACGCAAGTAAGTCTCCAAACTCCTATTTAACACTTCCGTTTGTCCATCCGTTTCCGGATGATACGATGAGCTAAGGCAAAGTTGGGTTCCAGCTTGCTTGAACAATTCTTGCCAAAATTGGCTAATGAAAATTCTGTCTCGGTCTGAAACTATGGTTTTAGGGAAACCATGCAACTTCACAACCTCATTCACAAACTTTTCAGCAACATCCTTTGCAGAAAAAGGGTGGGCAAGAGTGAAAAAATGAGCATATTTGGAGAGTCTATCCACTACCACTAGAATGGTGTTGTACCTTTTTGATTTAGGAAGCCCGGTAATGAAATTCATGCTAATGTCTTCCCAAATGTTTTGAGGGATGGTCAACGGCTGTAACAGACCAGCAGGAGTTAAAGCTTGATATTTATTCTTTTAACAGATCTCACAACTCGCCACATATTGCTGAACATCCCTTTTAATTCCCTCCCAATACACCACATTGGATAGCCTCTTGTAGGTGCGTAAGTAGCCCAAATGCCCCCTGTCGGAGAATCATGATATTCCTTCAATAACAAGGGAATTCTGGTGGATTTTTTTGGTAAGACTAACCTCTCTTTATAGTGTAGGCAGCCATGAACTAAGCTGTACCCTTCCACCCCAGTTTTATCAGTTAGGAGTTGCTGTAGAATTTTGCTCAGTTTTGGGTCTGCTTGCACCTCCTTCTCCCATTCTTCCACATCATTACATTGCCATAATGAGAATCCCATTAGTTCCAGTGATTCTTCTCTTCTGGATAAAGCATCAGCAACCCTATTCTCTTTTCCGGGCTTGTAAATAATCTCAAACTTGAAGCCCATTAATTTTGACGCCCATTTCTGCTGGTTTTCATCAACCACCCTCTGCTCCAGCAAATATTTCAGTGCCTTTTGATCTGTATGGATGATAAATTTATGCCTCTAAAGGTAATGGCGCCATTTTTTAACTGCCATAACAATAGCCATGAGCTTTCTTTCATAAATGGAGCATTGTTGGGCTCAATGTGAGAGCTTTTGGCTAAAATATGCCACTGGTCTGCCTTGTTGCATCAAAATTGCCCCTATTTCGGTACTAGATGCATCAGTCTCAAGCTCAAAAGGAATGGTAAAATCGGGCATTGCGAGCACTGGCATTGAAGTCATGGCAGTTTTGAGTTGTTCAAATGCCTTTTCCGCTTCCACTGACCACTTGAAAGAATCCTTTTTAAGTAAATCAGTAAGGGGGCTAGTAATCTTCCCATAGTTCTTGACAAATCGACGATAGTACCCGGTCAGTCCAAGGAAACCCCTCAAGGGCTTCACATTCTCAGGCTTTGGCCACTTCACCATCCTCTCTATCTCAACGGGATCAGCTTGAACTCCTTCTCTTGATATCAGATGCCCTAAGTATTCAATCTTTGGTTGTATGAAACTACATTTCTTCAAATTAATCACAAGCTGATTTTCCTTTAGGATAGCAAATACAGTCTCCAAATGCTTTAAATGAGTGGTTAAGTCATCACTATATATGAGAATATCATCAAAAAATACCAATACAAACTTGCGTAAATACTCCCTGAATACCTCATTCATCAAGGATTGGAAGGTTGAGGGAGCGTTGGTTAATCCAAAGGGCATCACTTTTAACTCATAATGTCCTTCATGTGTTCTGAATGCTGTTTTGTGTTCATCCCCAACCTTAATCCGAATTTAGTGGTACCCAGACTTCAAATCCAGCTTGGAGAAAATTTTGGCTCCCTTCAATTCATCCAATAGTTCATCTATGGCTGGAATAGGAAATTTATCCGGGATTGTAATTTTGTTTAAGGCCCTATAATCAACACAAAACCTCCAACTTCCATCTTTCTTCCTGACCAACAACACTGGACTTGAGTAGGGGTTGTTGCTTGGCTGAATAATTCCAGCCTGTAACATGTCCTTCACCAAACCTTCTATTTCGTTTTTCTGCATATGGGGGTATCGATAGGGCCTTATGTTTGGTGGCTGCTCTCCAGGTTTAATAAGAATAGCATGATCTTGTGAACGGGTTGGAGGTAGGCCTTCAAGAACTTGGTAGATAGTAGGGTATCTCTCCAATAACTCCTGAATTTCAGGAGAAAAAATGAAAGTACTTTCATGCTGCCCGTGAGCCCACTATATTCAATTAGAAACCCCTCTCCTTTCTTTCCTACAAAGCGAATTAGTGACCTGAAAGTAGCCTGAGCCCGAGTGAAAGATGGATCACCCTGTAAGCAAATTCTCTTTTCTTTCTTGCCAATCTTCATTGTTAACTCGCTCCAATTGACCTTCACATCCCCCAGGGATTTCAACCACTCCATTCCCAAGACTACATCAACCCCTTTCACCGTGAAAGGATAGAAGGTTTGAATGATTTGATACCCCTGGACACTAAAACAGAGGTCCTTACACCTTTTCCTCCCTTTTACAACAAACCCATCACCCACTGTAACTGTATATTCAGAAATCTCATCAAAAGGTAATTTCAATTTACTCTGCAGATTTTCAGCGATGAAGTTATGGGTAGCGCCACTGTCAATCAGAATTATCACTTCAGTGCCTCCGATCCTCCCTTTAACCTTCATAGTGTGATTATCGCCGAATCCACCCATGGAATTGAGAGATAATTCCATCTGTGCCCCTTCATCAGCATTTTCAAATTCCCCTCCTTCAAGTTCAGCCTCTGCATCATCTTCCTCTCTCTTTTTTCGCTCCCATCTCCATTATTAGTACCTAAAGGTTCTTGTTTTTGCACTAGTGGGTCGGGCTGTATTTATCTCCACACTTGAAACACAGTCCTAATTCACGTCGCCTTGTAATCTCAGCGTCTGAGAGTCGTCGGAGTTTCCCGTCCTCTTCGTCGACGATCCCCAATTCGAAATGCTCGCAGCCTTGGAATGCTCTGTTTTTGTATCCGTTTTCTTCAAATTTTCGGCAGCTGACGACGATGTAGTATGCGTGTTGCAATTCCCTTCAGTCACGTGCGCAACTCGTGTGGAATAAATGGGTTGCAGCGTTTCGAGTTTGGGCCCAAACTGAGGACATTGGGCTCGGGTGATCCTGGTTTCTCTGCAATCTCCAAGTATCCGATTCCTCTCCTCTATACACACCGCCATCTCTATCAGCTCTCACAATGTCGGAGTTTTCGTTAGCTTCAACTCAGCTCTGATCTTTGGTTTTAACCCAGAACGGAACGCGCCGATCAAGCATTCTTCAGAGGCCTCCTTCAGTGGCGTAGACAAGAGCTCGAATTCTTCAACAAATTCCAACACTGTCCTGTCCTGTTTGGATGTGAACAGTCGCTCATATTCCCCCCTGGCTGAGAGGAGTGAAACCTGCGTAGTGGCTCACTCTTGAACTCCGTCCAGTGACTCAGGAGTATCCTGGTCTCCAGCCATTAGTACCAATTTAATGCCTTATCCTCAAGACATACCACCACAGCCTCAAGCTTATCTCGTTCTGCAATGGAGTTAACATGGAAATATCTCTCCACCCGAAAAAGCCATCCCAACGGGTCCTCGCCTGAAAAAATAGGTAATTCTAACTTTCTATATTTGCTTCCGTCTGTATCACCGCCTGGGTTGCTCACCGAAACCTCCTCATGACCTTCCTGTTCGTTTGCACGTGGCCTGGTTATCTTCTTCTCTATTTGCACCAGGGCATTATTAATAGTCTTCAATGTTTCTTTAATACCGTTTACATCTCGGGTCAATACCCCAACCGTCTCCTTTAGTTCTTGTACCTCCAGATCAGCATACTGGACCCTTTCCACCATATCTCCTTACACACCACACCTAGAGATTGTACCTGCTCTGATACCAAATAATGTGTACCAAACTAGAATCACAGCAAAGAGTAATAAATAAGACAGCAACAACAATAAATATGAGAGGAAAATACTTAGGTTTTGATATTAATGTGATGAATAACCAAATCAAATGTACATGGAAACTCTGATTCTAGCCCAAAACCCTATTTCCTCAAAAAGAAGATAAAACACTCTAGCAATACAGATTACAAGCTTCAACATAAGAGTCTCACTCCCATTGGCATTCGAGAGGCCAATCTCTCCTTACTATTCCACTCTCATTCTCCTCGGCCTTCCCTTCCTAAACAAAATACTACTAATACCTTCAGTGGCTGACACATAGCCCATACTACCCAAAAGATCCCAATCATTACAAAAGATCACAAAATATTGTTCCTTAAGACTATGGACTATAGGGTAAACTTCTGGACTAGTTCAAGTATTTTCACTAGAGTTATTCTTCCCCTTTGACTTTCTTTGATATGTCTTAGGAAAATAACGGGCCCTATCAAATACATAAATATTTTCACATTTTCCACTGTGGCGATGGCTGCAAAAAGTAATACTTACAAAACAGTTGTTGAAGGAAAGAAATATTACCTGGGTTCAAGCAGTATGTGGGTGCTTGGCAATCTGTGGTTCTGACAAGACCTATGACTTACACTTCTATTACCGTTCCTTACCAGAAATCCTGGCAGTTGCAGATCCCGCTCTTAAAATGATGAAATCTAGTTGCATCTCTAACTATTATTTCCCTCTCCGTTATAAGGGTCATAAATTTTATTGCAGTGTGGCAGTCAACACAAATTCGAAGATTCTTTGTAACTACTATAGGCCTCCTAGGGTTAATATTAAGAATTCCAAATGCAATGGCTAATTTTTCACTGTGATAAAGGAGATTCTGTTCCTTCTCCTCCTCTTCAACATCATGAAGGGAAGAACTATAATCTGCACAGTATCCAAATTTTTTCATCTGCACCAGAAGTTCCTCCAACTTTCTATTAATGGATGCTGATTGTGGATGGGATTGATCTCCACCAATAAATCCATGGATTACTCCAGAGACCTCAATCCAACTGCATCCTGGACTTTTCTTGTAACCTTGATCCCTTTGTATGATTCTAAGGCGTGCTGCATCATCCCATCTCCCTACAGATGAATATATGTTTGACATAAGGACAAAATTTCCAGTAGATTCAGGTCCCAGCAACTGGATCTTCTCTGATACTTCTTCACCCATTTCAATATTTTTATGGATCCTACATGCAGCAAGCAATGCACCCCAGACACGAACATCAGGTTCAAATGGCATCCTTTGAATGAAGGTATATGCCTCATCCAAATGTCCTGCCCGGGCCAGAAGGTCAACCATGCAGATATAATGTGCCAACCTTGGCTTCATGTCTAAGTCTTGGGTCATGGCATTAAACCAATATTTCCCTTCCATGACAAGTCCTGAATGGCCACAGGCAGATAAAACAGCAAGGAGGGTCACGTCATCTGGCTTTAAACCTGATGCCTGAAATTCATGGAATAATGAAAGTGCTTCTGTGCCTAGCCCATGAATGCCATAACCAATTATCATTGTATTCCATGATACAATATCCTGCCTTGGCATCCTGTCAAATACTTCCCTACTAATATAAATGTTTCCACACTTTGAGTACATGTCAATAATGGCATTACAAATGGAGATGTAAGCTGTGAATCCACAAACAACCGAGTAGCCATGGCAGCAGGTCCCATGTTGTAGTGCTGCTAAATGTGAACAAGCTGGAAGGAGACCTACCATAGTCACCACATCTGGGTCAATGCCAGATAACTGCATCTGGCGAAAAATAAGTAAAGCCTTCTCTGTAGAACCATTTTGGACACATCCAGATATAATAGCACTGTAAGAAACCTTATCCTTTGAGATCATTTCATTAAAAAACCTAATTGCGTCATCCAAAATTCCACATTTTGCATACATAGAAATTAGTGAGTTTCCAACTGTTGCATCTAAATCCAACCCTGATTTCGTTGTATAACAATGCAAGTGTTTTCCCTTAACCAACTCAGTGAGGTTTGCACAAGCTCGTAATATGCTTGCAAGTGTAACAGGTGTAGGGTTCATCTTATTTTTGAATACCATCTCATCGTACAGCACCAATGCCTCCTTCATGGAATCACATGTGGCATATCCTCCAATCATAGCACTCCAGCATATCTCATTTTTTTCACTTATCATATCGAAGATATTCCTTGCATAGGATATGTGACGGCACTTTGAATACATATCCAGAAGTCCAGTTGAAACAACCACATCATTGCTGAAGATCTTCCTAACAGAGTAACCATGGATAGCCTTCCCTTGGCGTAGTGCATTAGCTTGACCAACTGTAGGTAGAACTGCAACGATAGTTGAAGAGTTGGGAATTATTCCTGCTTGCTGCATCTGGACAACTATTTGTATCATTTCATCATAAAGTCCATGAAGTGAGAACCCCGCAATTATGGCATTCCATGCAACAATATCCCTGTGGGACATGCTATTAAACAATCTTTGGGCTTCATCCAAATCCCCACATTTGGCATAGAGGTCAACCAAGGCAGTAGAAATATAAATGTCCGATTCAAGACCCAGTTTCTCTGCATGCTCATGTATTTCTCTCCCAATTTCCATTGCTTGTAGGCCTGAACAGGCTTTGATAACGAAAGGGAACGTGAATTTGGATGGTCTTACTCTCAGTTTCAGCATCTCATAGTACAGATCAATGGCCTTTTCAAATGGTCCATTCCAAGCGTAAGCTCTGATCATCATATTCCACAAAATAACACTCGGCTTTGGAATTTTATCAAACACTTGACGAGCAAGTTCAATCTCATTACATATAATATACAGATGGGTTAGCTTTCCAAGGATAGTGAAATCCTTAATAAAGCCATTGCGTTTAAGGATATGTTCATGTATTTTCTTACCTTCGGAAAGAGATTTGGATTGAATGCAGGCTTCAAGTTGCGTCACAAAATTAGAAGAACAAAGCTTGTCTGAGACAAAGTTCAATCCTTGGATGGCTGTTTGGCCACTCCATTTGTGAGACAACGACTTGGGTCCCTTGTCCTGGATAGAAAGATTACTTAATCCTCGACTAGCAGTGATTGGAAACAAAACCAGGTGACGTTTGAAACATGTTCGCCAAGGCATTTTTACCCCAGTTGAGACTTATATGGATTTCTGGTTTTTATTACTGTATATTCCTTCAAAGAATGAAACTTAGGATTACCAAAGAACCAAAAGAGACACATCCAGAGAGAGCTGCAGAGAAAGCAAAGGAGAAATAATCGTAGACACGCCCGCACAGTCAAGTGCAAACGCACTATACTTGAAAGAAGACTTCCTATAAGCACAGAGAGGGAAGGAGGCAAAGGGAGCTTGTAGTCGCAGGGCTTGACATGGAACTACTGCCATTGCTTTGGTGAATCGGAAACGTTCAAGCGGTTCCTACTCGCCGGCGATTCTACTGGGTCTCCGAATTTCGCCGAGGTCATGAACCTAAGCTGGGCTGTTTTCTAGGCTCGCTTCATTTTGAGGCGAAATGTTTTGGGCTTTAATCTGACCCAAATAAAACCCACAAATAAATTTGTTTTGGGTTTTGAGAAATTTTTCTTCCACATATTAATAATTCAATTACTATTCTTTTTCTGGTAAAATAACTAGAAGTGACTTTATATTTTCTTCTTTAAAAAATATAAATATTTTTAATACAATTTTACTCCAATAAAATAGTTAGTTATTTTTAAACTAATACCATTTTTTTTATATTTATCCTTATTTAATAAGGTATTTCACTATAAAATAAATATAAAGTTATTTATTTGTTATGGGTACTTTTGAAAAAAATATATTAACTATGCTTTGAAATGCTAAAAATCTTATATTTTTTAACATTTAACCCCTCAAATGCAAGAAAGGAGTAAAATAGAAAGGGAGTATATTGTTAAGGAAGAATGTTATATTTTTATTCGATGGAAGATGGATGGCATGATATATTATATCTATGTAAGAATTCTCGAATCAAAATGGAGTGTGAGAAGCTTCTTTTATCAAAATGGTGTAAAAGTTTAAATTGAAACTCTTTTTTTTTAACTAACTAAAGTTAGTGTGAGTGGTAGAGGTTTTCATCATTTAAACAAATGGTTGGAAGTTCTTGAAGAAAATATTCTCTGCTATTACTAGCAAATCTTGCTTCTTATAATTTAAAAAATATTTATTTTTTAGATTCCCTCTCCTTCTTTCTTTATCCCAAATTCATACACACCAAAACAAAGGAAGGCTGAATATAAATCAAACCCCAAATAAATCATGTTGGATCACAACAATAATAGAAAAGTTTAGATGTGCCCAAATCAATGGCCGTTAAAAAAGTGTAACAACGAGAAACTCTTCTTTAATTTTGAAGCACAAGTCAAGTTGGACGAGACATGGTACAATGGGAGGAAAACAAGATTAAAGCATGAAGAAACATTTAGTTAAGAAAAAGAGGAGAATCATCCAATAGGAAAGCGAACTGAGAGAAGTGAGAAAAGTGGGGTGATGCAGCATATTTAGGGATTATTGCTGAGTAATGATTACGTAGAAAGTTCATCCCTTGAAAGCAAAAGCGCACTGCTACTCATCTATCTCATAAAAAGAAAAGGGGAGAGAGAGAGAGAGAACAAAAAGAAAAGTTCACTTCAATTCTATGAATGTCTCCAAGGCTTCACTTCACCTTCACGGTTTTCCCTTTACCATAATACCATTCTTCAATATATCATTTTTTTTTCCTGAATTAAGTTTTAGCATATACATTTCCATCAGTCTATTCTAGAAAATTTTTTTTTTCCAGAAACCAGGAGCTAGGCTCCTTTTTTTTTTAATATAATTGTTATTTAAAAACATATAATGTTGCTCTTAGTGAGGTAGGCTATATATGGCTATTTAGATAAAAAATTTATGAAGTTGAGTTTCAGTTCATGCAAATGTTAAAAAAGAAAAAAAAATTGCTTTGTGAGTTAATTCGAGTCAATTCACCTTAGTCATTTAACAAGTGACATATCATATATGAGTTAATTTATCTTATTGCTCCTTTTATTATATACTCTCTTTGGTCTACAATATGAAACATGAGAACGGTGTTTATAACTTTCAAAAAGGTTGGTTGAAATCTTAATTTTTTTTTAAAAAGGTTATACATTGTTTTAATTATACATTCATTAAAGATCCTATATAAATACCTTAATAATGACAATTAAAATTTTAATGGATCATTTTTTTAAAAAAATAATGAATAAAGCAAGGGTATAGTTGAAAAAATTACAAAAATTACCAAACCCTATATTTTAGACTAAACAAAATTCTAAGAAAATATCCTATATTATGAAGATGAAAGAATAAACATTAATGTGAAACATGACAGCTACTTTCACAAAATTTGATGTAATACTGAGAAAATATAATAGTAAGTTGTAAAATTTTATCCATTTAATTAAAAAATGTTAAATCATAAGGATGGCATTAAAAATGAATAAAATCATTAAAAATAAGAATTGGCCTCTGAAAATGTTGATGTTATGTTGGTGAAAAAAATATTGGTTTTATTGTTGGAATCTCTAAAAGGAAAAGTAAGAAAGGGTTAAGGAGAAGTTGGACAAATTAGGATTTTTTTTTTTTGCTGTTAGGGTTAGTTATTTAGCTTTAGAGTAAATTAGGACTTTGATCTTTCCTCATGTGCTGTCATTTCCATTGGTAACTGATTCCAACATAACTGATCCTTCACCCAATTTTGGAAGTTCATTTCTGGATTAGTGTGATGCGATTATCCCAACAAGAATATCAAATCTTTATTTGCTTTTCTAAAATTTATCAGCATGCATCTGACAAATTGGCATTATTAGTAAAACTAATGCTGGCAAAAAAATGTGGCTTCAATGGCACATGGGGTTTGAGAATGAGTCACATCAATTAGGACTTGTAAGAACTTAGTGTAATTTTTTTTTTTATTTTATACTTTATAGCTTGATTGTTGAGAGCAATGTTTTAAAAACCGCACTAAACAACGAACCGGAAAGATCAGTGGATCACGGGTCTCATGTTTAATTAGTTAGACCGATGGTTGAATAGTGATATAATAATTAATGAAGAATAATATGTATATACATATATATAAAAAACGGGTCAAAATGGTTCAACCATTTCGAGATCTCGGGTTTTTGCTCTGAGTCTTCAAGAACTGCCTAAATCAAAATGGGCCAACTTGGATCAACTGTTAGAAAATGAGCCAAATAGTTGAACTAGATTGTTTTCTTTTTCGAGTGACGATTCAACTGGTCCGACCATCCGGGTCAGTCTGGGCCTTAAATAATGGTTGAGAGGATATGATGGGATTTGTTTCGGTGCTTATCATGCTCAATGCCAAAACATGTCATTTTAGTGTCAATTTTTCCCTTTTCTTTTCTTAAATCACAAAGTTATTATAATAATAATAAATAAATATTATAGAATTATTATTTTAATAAATAAATTTAACTCATTAAAATTTGACTTAAATAGTTCATAATTGTTGTAAAAAAAATTAGAACTATAATTAAAAAGATTTTCATCAATTTTATTGATTTTACATAGTTGTCTATCTATTAGAGGTAAGGTTGTTGTACAAGAAATTTAAAGCCTTAGTTTGCCTAATCCAACCCGATAAGACTCGGCCCCCAAAAAACAGTGAAAAAAAGGACCAAACTAATTGGCCAGACTGAACTATTGGGTAATATTGGGTTCAAGATTGATATTTGAGACTACTTAGTCTAGCTCAATCCATGTGGTTAATTTTTTTTTTAAAAAAATATATGTAATTTATTAGAAAGCATTGCCTCTTCAATGTTTTCTTTATTTTGCTTGACGCTCTCTAATCCTCCTCCTTTGACATCGACTTTTAGGTGCCGCTGCTCTCTAATTGCCTTCAAGCTTTGACCATCCAATGACTGATAATGCTCCACCTCCATTCAAGCTTTGGCTTCCAATAGTTCATAATTGTATTAAAAAAAATTAGAATTGTAATTTAAAATATTTTTGTTAATTTGATTGATTTTGCATAGTTGTTCATATATTAGAGGTATGGCTATAAAAAAATCTAAAGCCTAGTTTGACCAGTCCAACCTAGCATGACCTGGTTTGACTCGGTCCTAAAAAATAGCTGGAAAAGAAGACCAAGCTAATTGTGTCAAATCGAACTAATAGGTAAGACTAGGTTCAAGATTGATATTTGAGACTACTTGGTCTAGCTCTGTTCAGGTGGTTAATTTTTTAAAATATATGTAATTTATTAGAAAGCATTGCCTCTTTAGTGTTTCTTTCATTTTGCTCAACGCTCTCCAATCCTCCTCCTTTGACTTTGACTTTTGGGTGCTGTTGCTCTTCGATCATCTTCAAGCTTTGGTCGTCCAATGACTGAAATGCTCCACCTCCATTCAAGCTTTAGCCATCGCTCCTCTCCACTCTCACTTCGACATCGGCACATTTTTGCAACCCTTCATTGTTGCTACACTCCATCAACCATTCCTAGATTTTTTTCTCTCCCCCGTCGCATCTTTGGCACTGTTCTCCTCTTCCTAGATCTACAACTTCTCAAACTTTTTGTATTTATTTATGGTGGTGGATATTTTTTTTTTCACCGTGCTCAATCTAGAGCTTCTCATTATTCTATTTTCTTTTTAACTTATAGTTCTCATTTGATTTATTGGTCAGAAGGTCTTTTTTTTTTATTTTTGGTTCTTGGCTTCTTGCCAAGCAGATTTGGTTATTAGATTTCAATTGAAAGGAGAGAGAAGGAAGAAATCATGAAGAAGGAGAGTGATATTATTGGTGGGGATGAGGTGCAATGAGTGGGATGAAGGAGTTGCTGGCCAACAAAATTGGTGAATGGTCCAGTAAATAGAGTCGGTTATTCGGGCAGGCTGAATTTATTTGGGTCGGGCTTATTTTGATCGGATTTAAAGTATCCTGCTCTCTTAAAAAAGCTTATATAGTCAAACTCAACCTTACTTTTTTTTGAATGGTTTGGGCTAACCCGTCAAGCTTGGACAAAATTACAAATTTTATATACATATAGAGTTATAAATTTCAATGGTCAGGCTCAATTCGAACAAGGCTTATTCAGGTCGGGTTTGAAGTATCCTACTCTCTTAAAAAAACTCATTTAGTTAAGCTTGATCTTAATTTTTTTAGGGCAAGTTCGAGCTGACCCGTCGGGTTTAGCTTGAATTATTGGCTCTACCAATAACCCAATAGACCAAGTCCAACCTGATCTTGGTTTCAAGTTTTATCAGACTGGACTAGGCCTCATACCAAAATATCTAACTCGAAAGTCTTTCACACCAGACCTCGGGTTGATGCTTAACTTGGTCTAGCCTGATCTTTGTGTAGCCTTAATCAGAGTTAATATCATTCAAAGTATGATTGGTTATAGATATAGGCACTTCTCCTGCCATGAATTCAAATATTAATTTGTCACTTCATAAGAAACTAACTCATTTTGATGGAACCAACTCATGTTCTTAACTATTTAGGCAACAGCTATTCAAGTCAAAATTTATAACTAAATTGTTCAAGTCAAATTTAACAAGTTAAATTTATTTATTTATTAAATATTAAAATAAAATTTTTATAATATTTATTTATTATTATAAAAATAACTCTATGGTTTAAAAAAAGAAAAAGAAAAAAAAATTAACACTAAATGACCATTGTATGGAAACCTGGGTTGAACCGGTCAGTTTAATCTGTGAACTAGTGACCTGGTCTCTTTTTTGGTTTGAGTTTTCATCTAAACCAATCAACCACTAACTCAGTGTGACCCAGCTGGCCCAGGGTCAACTCGAGATAACCCGGCTAACTTGATAATCGGGTTGCTGGGTCAATTGGATCACTTTTTTATTTTTTTTATTTTTTTAAATTGTAAAAACTAAATAAACAATAAAAAATTCAGCTTGAAAATTAAAAAAGCGAGGCAATGGAGGGTAATGCAATTAAACAAGATTTTATTGTCTGTAGTTTAAATTTCGAATAAAGGGCTTTAATTGTAAGTTCAAACTTAAAATATACAGTATTCTTTTAAGTTAATTGTGCCTTAATTGTTTTAATCTTTTATTATTTGCTGTTGTTTATTTGTCTGATTGTTGCTTAGCATTTATGAATTATAACTATCATTGTTGATGATTTTAGTGTTAGTGATGATTAATTTTGGACTTTTTAATGATTGAAGAGCTATAAATTGTAATTGTAAGAATGAATATTTAAAAAGTTATATTTTATTATTGTTAGACTTTTAGGTGGTTGTAATTTTATAATCATTGTTGTATTTGTATCTTGTATTAGAGATTAATTTTAGATTTGGTTGAATATTTTCATAATTAATGTCTTTTTATTTAAATTGTATTATTTTAATCATGATCGGTTTGCTTTCTAGGTTGACCCCTGATTCAACCCAAGTTGAATCACTAACCTGTAACTTGTTGGCTCAACCAGTTTAATGACTGGTTCATTTTTCAGTCCCTTGAAAATGACAGTGTTTTTGCGCTAAGCACCAAAACCGGGTTTGGACACAATGATATAACTGACCCCTTTTAATAGCTTATGGGATAAAGCTTGTTATTGTATCTTATATATTAACAAGTTTAACAAACATAAATGTAAATTATATAGCTCAAGTGAGTTAGGTTTCAATAACTCCCTAGGGCCAATATATGCCTCTAAGTTTAAAGAGTGCTTATAGAGATACTTACAAATAATATATTAACAAGATCCTCACATTGATAAAGAGATTTAATTGTACAATCTTGTGAGTTATAAACCAAATTTTTACCAACTTGACCAATTTTTGTTGACATCTTTCAAGAATTTTATCTAGCCTCCTGCATGGCTTCTTCTTCTTCTTATTTTTTTGGAAAATGACATCATTAAAGAAATAGAACGGCCTATTACTTAAAATAAATATGAAACGGAAAGCAGTGGTTATACACACACACACATTTGTGCGCGCTAGACTTGCATTTATAATTAAATGGAGATGCATATATAGAAGTATTGGCAATTTTTTTAAAAAAAAGTGCATAAAAGGCTTGTATCAAACGTTATGCCAGAATCTGTAAATCTGTAAAAGAAAAAGAAAGAAGATTAAAAACTCAAAGATAAGGAACTTTGGTTCCTTTATTTTTGTCTCTTGTATGTATAAATAATGGTGTTCGGGATGACTGAAGAGTCTTCCATCTACAACAAGAAGAAGAGGAAAAAAGAAGAGGCAGGCAAAGACTACATGGCAAGGGTCGGGTTACCACCGGGTTTTCGGTTCCATCCCACGGATGAAGAGCTTGTCAATTATTATCTCAAGAGGAAGATCAATGGCCAAGAAATTGAACTTGACATCATTCCTGAGATTGATCTCTACAAATGTGAACCTTGGGAACTTGCAGGTTTGTTCTTCTCTCTCAAGTCTCGTAACTTAAGGCATCCCTATGTCATTTAGTATTTGCTCCTTTAACTCATCTTCATCATATTTTGGTGACACCTTTGTGTTTGTTTATTCTACTTAATATATTGAAAATTTTATTCTTAAAAAAGACTTAGTTTTCTTTCCTGCATTGGCTTGCACTTTCACATTTGTCAGTCTTACATAAAAATACACATTCAAGCACAACGTTGTGCCTTCAATGCCATGCAATAAAGTGTACGCCATTACCAGCACTCAAAGCAGAGTGTGTGTGTGTGTGTGGATTCAGTGAATGCCGTACATGTGTTCTGATGTGAAATGTGAAGCATACTGAAGTGAGTTTGATGCATGTTTTAATAATGTGTACCAAAAGATAAGGAAAGTTCTTCAGTTGGCTGATTTTGGTGGGACATTTTGTTGCCATGGTGATGATGATGATGGTGTGGCAGACAAGTCATTTCTGCCAAGTAGAGATCCAGAGTGGTACTTTTTTGGACCCAGAGACAGGAAATACCCTAACGGTTTCAGAACTAACAGAGCCACTAGAGCTGGGTACTGGAAGTCCACAGGCAAAGACAGAAGGGTCAGTTCCCAAAACAGACCCATTGGCATGAAGAAAACTCTTGTTTACTACAAAGGCAGAGCCCCTCAAGGCATCAGAACTGACTGGGTCATGCATGAGTACCGCCTCGACGACAAAGAATCTGAGGACATCTCCGGGATACAGGTAAATAATCTTCTCCAACATCTTTGTCATCAAGTTCTCTGATAACACGAAAATTAACCATGTAAAATGAGTTAATCCTAGTGCTTTTATGAAAAACATAATAGTAAATATCCTAAAATGTGTAAAGCAGTTATGTTCATCAGTTTCATAACTTGAGTTATCGCAGTTTCATAACTTGCATGGAGAAGCTGAGAGGAGAGAGGGGCAGGGGATGGATTTTAGTGTGGGAGATTCCAAAAGCATTAGAAAAAGTATATTGCATGAGTCACATCTCAGAAAAGCAGATGTTTTCGTCTTCAAAACAAGTCCTTGTTGGTGCCCCCACAGGCCCCATATGACAACTTTCAGAACTTCCCTTTGCCTGTGTATACACTTGTCATCACCACATATTTGACCTGAAAAAAACACAAAAGCATGAAGTTCCATGCTTAAGACAGTCACAAAAGCATTTTTCCTTCATTATTTTCACCACCCTTTTACATCAAAGACAAGAAAGAAATCAATAGCTTCAGTTCCCTAGTGTATCTCCTTCACTAATCCAGAGTCACCCACACAGTCACAGAAACTAGACCTTGAAGTTGCAGAAAAACAATATGCATTACCATATTAGCTGTTACTTGTGTGATGACCGTTGAGAACTGTAGGGAAACGTGGGATCTGCATGATATGCATGAAAAAGCCTGTCCTTTTAAAGAAGTTTATTATTTCTTTCCTCTTTTCTCTCACACCTAACTTTAGACTCAGAAAAATCAATAAACTATACTAGTGATCAATAATGATGTGAATATGTCAAAGAGTATTGCTACGTGAGATCTGGCCTCTAACACGTTTACGTGTATCTTGAGGGATAATTTGGTACCACCCTAAAAGTCTCTCCTTTATAATTGTTTATTGGAGAAGTATAAATAAACAAATGGTTGATATATTCGTTGCTTGCTTTCCTCGAATACCTCTTAACTGACAGTACCTTGTCCTTTGTTGTTATTTAATGAGACAAGTAGTTACTACGCATGGTATAATGATAAAGCTTTTGATTAGTTTACAAGATACGTTATTTAAAACTTAAATAAATGTAAATGAGACAAAAGCTGCCTTCTTAAACTCCATATAATTTTGTCTTTATTACTGTATTTGATATTCATCCAGCCTTCATGATCTAGGATTACAGATTCTAGGACCATTTGAAGGCTTATGCAATTCATAAATAGCTGCTTCTCCATCACTTTCATTCTGTGTCGGCCACTTTTTACTTTATTCCCAAACACCAAGATAAACCAATAGATACTGCCAGAAAGGGAGAAATTAAACAGAAAAAGAAAATTCAAAAGATATTAATCAACTTGTGCAAAACCTCATGATTAAGCTTAGGGAGATTCAACAGCCTATCATATACAATTCTCCTTTCACACCCTTTTATTAATCATGAGAATGTCTTAAAGCTTATGCTCACAATCACGAGTCCAACTACTGCAAAAAACAAAGGAAACATTGACCAAGACTTGTAACTCTTTGAATGTTAGCTTCCACCAAACAGGACATTTTTTCCTTTATAGGGTAACATATTTTTGTATATCTGATTAGGCCTCAATTTTTGACTACTCTGTTTTGACTTTTTCAGCATGAGCAAACAAAAAGCAGCTTCAGGGAAAGATTTGAAATTGGATACACCCACTAACCATTTTCCACTCTTATTCTTTCTTAGCTGTAAAGTTTGTTTATTACTGCATAAAAGAAGAGTAACCAAGAGGATAACTTATCATTTTTATCCACAAAAAACTTCTCGTGCCATCAGATTAGCCTCTGAGAGAAAATGACTATTTTGGTCCTTGATTTGAATGGTTATATTATATGGATGCTTCACAACAATGTGTGTGTGTGTGTGTGTTTTAGAGGGACTAAAATAGAAGTTTATTCGTGCTAACAAAAGTCCACATCAAGGTATCTTAGTACTTAACAGTCATTTGTTTGGTAACCTTGCAGGATACTTATGCATTGTGCCGTGTATTCAAGAAAAATGGAATCTGCTCTGAAATTGAAGATCAAGGGCAGAGTAGTTTAACACTAGTTGAGAGCTCACAAACCATAAATATTAATAATGAAAGTGAAACCATGTCTCCAGACCCAGCTGGGGCATCTTCTTCATGCTTGGAAGAGGAAGACAAAGATGATTCATGGATGCAGTTCATTACAGATGACGCATGGTATCCTTCTAATACAGCCATGGCAGGTTGTGAAGAAGTTTCTCATTTTACATTCACAAACTGATGTGCCAGTGACCAGTGGCAGGCCAGATAGGTGGTGGGGAATAACTTGGGCTGAATTCATGAAACAAAAGACACATACAACTGTTTGCAAGATTCCTTCTGCTTCTTCTTTTGTATATTAGTATCATAGTATGCTTCATTGATCAAGATGGTTTGATTTTTTTTCTAATATTATTATAACGGTCAAAGTATATCTTGGAGTTTTGGGTGATAATCCTCATTAAGGGTGGCTAAACCCAGATTGATGGTTTGGTGTAAGGTCTGGAAAAATTTTATGGATTGATCAGGGTTGTTATTACATATGGAATAAAGAAAAATACCAGGATATTTGTTAGCCTTATTATTGAATATTTTTTTGCTATTTTTAAGAGTAACTTAAGTGAAAGGCAATTGAAATATTCTGAACATGTCTTTTAAGTTTAAGTATTTTATTTAGGACTTCAACACCAAAACCTAATATGTAGTTCAAAAACGGTTTTCTTTAGATGAGATAATTAGACTACTGGATGGCCGAAGAAACAATTCAAGCCTTGGCCTTATCCCCTTTTTACCCTTTTTCTGCATTCCAAATACATTCCAAGAAAAATGAATTTAAATAGAATGACAAAAAATATCTTAATGAAATATTCTTTTCCTTCACCTTTTATCCCATTGTTATCAATCTAACCAAACTCCAAAAATAAATTTAGTCTACAAAAGAAACTTTTCAGTGAAACTTACCCATAACACATCAACATGTTTATTTACGACTAACTAATCAACCTATCTTTTGATGCTGGGACTAAATAGGAATATTTGTGTTTTATTGGTCCTGGGACTTGATAAACAACAACATTGAGACCCCATAAAATTAAAAAAAAAAAATTGCACACATAGAGAGCCACCTCAACAATCACTTAGCTTTGCAAAGTGACAGTTCCAGATTGAAGCAGCACAGAGAACATGTGGTGGAAACTCTCTGTTCTCTCTCCTTATATGGGAAGCACTTTCGAATTATAATCACACTTTCCATTGCTCAAATTGCTCAGAGCTTAACATGAAAGAACTTGCATTTCTGTGTCCCCCACCTCCAAATTCCTAATAAAAGACCAAGAAACGAAATAAATATAGATCCCTTGTTTACAAGTAGCACATAAAATGCAATGAGCAATAATGATATAGGAGAAACCTGAGAGATGGGAGTTGTATCTTCATTGCCCAAACTCCTCAAACTTATTTTCAGCATATTGTCATTTCCAAGCTCTGGTACTTTATATACAACAGCTCCAATAGCCCTACGAGAGAAATGGATGCATCACAAATCTGTCATCTCAATGAGACTATTAACTTCATGGAATAAATTTTTGTTTATCAATGCATGCTTGCTCAGGAGAGAGCAAGAGTCCCTATTTCTGGGAATTTGGAAGTTTATTTGCACAGTTGATTCTAAACTGAGTCATACTCCAATAAGAAAATCAGCAGTTTACAATCACATTACTGTTGTACTCCTAACATCTGAGGCTCTGGCTAACGCAATTATGTTTATTTGGATTTGGAATTTTTACTTCATGGTTACCATGTGCTCTTTCTTGATTTTTCTCATCATTACCCTTTTTTCTTCCCCTTCACCGAAAAAAGGGGAAAAAACAAAAATTCATACTAAATTCCCTTCTGAACAAAAGCCTGATGGTATGTATATGTTTCAGTCCTCATACAGTCATTAACAAATATTTCACAACTGATCTTCGTGAGAAAATATGCATCCAATCATATAGATTGTTGCTGTATTGCACAAGAGCCCCCATTACCCAGAGCAATATAACCTAAATCACCAGATTGACTGAGGCATGTCATAGCCAACACGCTATGACAACAAGGATTTTCTGAGCAGAAATACAGATGATAGCAGCAAAACGAAAAATAGTCATTTTTGGATGATGGTTGGAGGTGGATACCCTAATGTTAACTTCGGAATTTATATTGAATGAAATGATACTAACCTCAACTTCAGATTTTGGCTTTTACAAGCTAACTGATTTCCCAATTCACTTCTGAGCTCTGAAAGAGCAGCATCTGCATTTATAGCCTACAAATAACAGAAGCAACTATATTCTCAATCGACCCATACTTAGTAACGCATTAAATAACAAAGGAAAATGCAAAAGTATACAACATTGTACTTGGTAAACTAGATCATAATCAAATTTTAAGTTTCCAATGAACATAGAAGCATGTATTAATGCATCACGTCCTCATGCAATATGAGGATTTAAAATGAAATAAATTGCTAATGTGTGGCTACAATCTGTTAGAAATATAACTACAAGGATCTCCAAAGGAAAGAGAGACGTCAAAAGAAAAATTCAACAATACCAAGCATGAGCCATATGCACCACCGCCGAGTGCAATTCTGTATGACCGGCTGAGACAAGCATCTATTAATTTTTGCTTGCGTGATAAGCTCACCATGCCTTGACTGATTACAGAGTCAACATCCAATAACAACAACTGTCAAGACCCAGAAAATTATCATTTGTTTCAACTATTCCAAAATTCATGTAATCATAGTGAAAAGGTCAAGACAAATAAACTATGTCAGTACATCAGATATTGGCGCCAACAGATCAAAGAGGAAGGAAAATACCGGTGCCACTAATTGTCAACAACAGAATAATCATATTTAAGAAATTATTACACCTAAGCAATACAACTCTCATAAATATTTAAAAAAAAAAATCAGATATGGCAGGATAAAGGGGTGTGCCTCCTTGAAGTTTTAAAAGGTATAGTGTAGGAAGTTAAGCCGGTTATTTATCTCATAAAAATCATACTCTCGTACAACATAAGATTGTAGGCATATTATTTTCAGTTCAAACACAACTTCTGAACTTAAATAATAAGCCAAGTCCAAGTGGCCAATCAGATTGTGTGCAAAGAAAATCGATTTGAACTTTTCTGGAAAGCCATGACCTAGAAGCTAACTCCAGAGGTGGGAGATGTAAGACCCAGGTTCGATATCATGTAGCTGGTATCACAGCATTCCACCACACTTCGTAATTTCATACTTGGGAGGTAATGGAAGGCTATAGTACCGACTAAGACATAAGAGCCACAGTCCAAACGTTTGGAGAGCTAAAAGGGGATCTAAAATTCTAAATCACATACTATAGCCCAACGAGTGTCAGAAGAAAAAAACTGTTCAATTAGATGGTAGCAAACCTAAAATTATCTAAAGTAGATGGAACCAACCAAAGAAGAAGTGCAAAATAAATGTGCAATTCAAAAGCAATCATGCAGACAATCACCTGGTCAAACAAGGAAGGGTTTAAACGGGCGTCAAACTCTATGTCCAAATCTTTCAAACCACTGCTGAAAGCCTTGCTGTTTTGGAGTTTCCATCTCCAAAGGTCTCCATCTTCAATGTAATCATAAAGTTTACGGACACCCTCAAATTGCTTAAGCACTGGTTGATGCTTAGCATCTGCGCGTGAACTAAGAAGCTTCTCTTTAAAGTAATCAAACGCAATAGTTGCCCCACTTCTCTCCATATCAATCACTTTAATCACATTCTCATCAACCAAGCTCTCACTGCCTAAATTCTCAAGCGCAGTCTTGTGATGGTCCAAAATGACACTCTTCATATGAGAAAATATAATAAGTTGATGAAATATACATATCATCCTCCAATAAGCATAAATGAAAGGATGACAAAAACAAAAAGGGAATGGGGGAAAAGTGAAACCTACGCTCCAACTTTGGTGGAGATTTCCTGAACAAATCCAGAGGCCCCACGAAATCCAGAAGGTAAAGATCACTAATTTCATGCAGGGGAAGATCTTCAACTCTGATCATTTAAGTAATGGCATGAACTTAGTATACCCAAGATCGAGAATAAGAATGAGAAGAGAAGAGAAGAGAGGAGAGAGTCCAGGGTCAGCGGGATGAACCTGAGGGGGCGATAGACTGTGTTGGGGAAGAAGAGAGCTGGGAGAGAAGTAGCTTTGAAGTAAAGGTGAGCGGCGAGAGCAGCAAAAGCACCATCAGGACAAGGATAATGATACAGAATTGCTGAAGCTTTCGTTTTTATGCCATTCATCATTTGGATTTTGATTCCGAAACTCAGAGATAGCGCCGCCGTCGCCGCTGTTGCCATTATTAGAACTTCAAATGAAAAATCACTGTCAGCCTCTTTCTATCTTCCAAAGTTAGTTTTTTTTTTTTAATCTAACTTCCAAAATAAATGAATAAAAATTACAAATTTTAAATTATTCAATTTTGACTAGAACTATAAAATAATCTCCAGAAATTTTATTTTTCAGCAATTTATCAATTAATCATATTTAAATTGCAAAAAAAACTTGTAAAATCATTATAGTCTAATAATGCGTTATTATATACTCTTCATGAAAAATTATATGAAAATATAATAAAATGAAATAGAATAACCTTTTTTTGTTATAAAAATAAGAAGAATGTAGAGGTTAGAGATGAGATAAATAAACAAGACAATATTAATAAGAGAGAATTTTTGAATAGGTAATGACCAATATAGATAAGATAATAGCATCTTGAAAGCTTTAGTTTTTATCTCACGCAAGGCTTACTTTGATCAAATCTGTGTTATTGCTTCAAATATATATACACTTTCTTGTGTTAATCTTCCCCAATGGTTATACAATCAGATTGATCCAAAGTTCGTTGATTTTTTTTTTTGGGGAATTTGTGATCAAAAGAAAAACATTCCTCTTGCCAAAATGGATATTCTTTTCAGCCTAACAAAATCTAGAGGCCTTGGTTTAAGGAAAACTAGCCTTGTGAATATTAGTCTTTTAGCTAAATAAATTTGGAAGGTGACGACAACATAGAGAATTCTCTTCTTGGTAATACTTTGAAACTCAAGTATTGCTCAAATATTGTTTCTTGTTTCAAATTACCGTACAATGCTTCATGGTATTGGAAAGGGGTCTAAAGGCTGCAAACATCATTAAAAAAAAAAACATTTCCATTGGAAGGTTGGTAATGAAAAGACATCTCTCTTACTCATTCTCATTAATGGAAACCTATTCAGCCAAATCTTTCAAAGGATTATAACGCTCACAAAGTATTTGATTTATTATCAAAAATCTCAACTCTTGCACTACTTCTTGTTAGAATAGTTTAGACTATCAAAGCTTTGTATGATGAAGGAACTGCTAAGTCCATACTTAGCACTCCAATATCATTTACTGATGGAAAGGATAAACTCATATGGTGTACAGGACATTATTTGCTAAAGAGGACTTCACTAGGCTAGCGCTTGTTACAATAACTAGCTCTTATGTAAATGAATGTATTTAGAATTTTCTTTGAAAATTGCACTTTACTCAAAAGACTATGCTTTTCATTTGGAAAATAATCCACAAGGCTATTCCTACAGTGATGTTTTAAATACTCATCATTTAAATTGCTCTCAACATTATGTTTTTGGCTGTGACACCTAAGAAACTATAAATCATCCTTTTTGTGAATGTCCAATCATTAAAGCTATTTGGTTTGGAACTCTATCTATTAAATATACATCCATTTTAGATATTGGTCTCTCTTAATGAATTTTGAAAGTTTTGAAGATTTTGTATCAAAACTAAGAAACAGATTGGTTAGTAAATATTTTCCTCTTACTTCATAAAATTTGATTGTTTAGGAATCTTTACCTTCATCAAAATATAAAAAGGATGACTGAATCTTTTATTCAAAATTTTAAGCAAGATATACTCTTCATTAGATTTGTAATTAGAAACATGCTAATGGATTAGAAATTTGAAGTTATCATACACAGAATATAGAGTTTGCAAATGATAAGAGGATAAGATCATCATTGCATCAAGAAACCTTATTGTTCAAAGAACATTTCTTTGAATGGCACAAAACTCAGCATCTTGTGTTTTCTGGATTTGATTTGATAGCACATGACATCTTTAGGGCAGTTTGTCTTCAAAGTGTACTCTTTTGGATCCATAGCTTCTAGCAAAATCATCGAGATTCCTTCATCCAGCTTAGTGACTTGGTGCTAAAATTCAACAAAGGAAATTTATTTCGTCCTTTTGGTCACAATACTATTTATCAAGATATAAAGCACATGCTCTAGTATTGTACTCATGTTTCTTTCTAGAAATAATGTTATAGATATACCAACCACAAACTTTCTTATTCTACTTCTGTTTTTACTATTAAGTTTTGAACCTTTGTTTTTGTACTTTCATTTTATTTGTTAATATAATTGCACTTTTATCCACACAAAAAAAGACAATGAAGAATTAGGGGATGAAAATAGAGAGAAATTCCCATTCACTTCAAACATATAATCATTTGGTATATAGCCTATTATTTGTAAGTCACAAGTTCTTAAATTCTATTTCAAGAGTCACATACAAAGAATAAATATATACTCCCTCCGTTAAAAAATATAAAGCATTTTTAATCGAATCTCACCCACAATAAAGTAGTTACCTACTTTACAACTAACCCTATTTTTATATATTTATTCCTATTAAACACCTTACAATAAATATAAAGTTATTATCAATAAGGGCTCTTTTGAAAAAAAGACAATGATTACATATCGAAAAACTAAAAATGCTTTGTATTTTTTAATAGAGGGAGCATAATTGTAGAATATATAATATACTATGTGCTAATCATGGAAAACTCTAAAAAAAAACCATTCATGTTTGAGGTTACCTAATTTTAATTGAAGAACTCCAAAGGACAACCCTTAGAAAGTTATTGACATTCAGACGCTTAATATTATAATATTTATAACACTAGTTTGTTAACATTATGCCACATGAAGCTAGAAGGATTAAAGATATGAATGTTTTTGCCTCTTGTATTTGATGCAATCATCATATAGAAAGTTCTCTTCATATCCTCCAGACTCTGAGGAAATTTAATCTTTATGGATCTCTATTATCAAGCCAAGCCTTCAACCTAAATTTTTTAATTTCAACTTGTGGGATTGGTGTTATTTGAATGTCAATGCAATAATGGGGCAAGAGGAATGATATTGGAAGGAGTTGTTTGTTGTTATCTATAAGCTTCTTTGGAAGCAAAGGAGTGACAAAATATGCAAAAATATTAATATTGTATCCCATCAAATTTACTCTTAAAGCCAAAAGCTATTGTTTTAGGTTACAACGAGGCACATATTAATATGAAACAAGTTAATATTTCAAGGGTTATGAAAGAGGTGGGAAATCCTCATATGATGCAAGAAGGGTGGGTTAATGGTCAAGTGGATGGGGCCTAGCTATTCTCATTTTAATAGTGTCACAAGCTTTGGGGGTGTTATCAAAGATAATTTCAATTCTCTATTGGAAGCTTCTGTGCTTAGAATTAGAGGTGTTCAATTTGGATTCATCCTGATTGGCCTGATATCATTTCGATCATATCAGGATAGGTCTTGTCACAACCTAAAATAATTGAGATGGGACAAAAGAAGGGGTTTGAGACGGGATAGGACACGAGATTACCATCGGGACGTCCCATCTAGTCCCGAATATTATATATATATATATATATTATTTTTTATTTTAAATATATTAATTATATTAATATAATTTATATTTATATTAATTATATTAATTATAATTTTAATATTTGTAATTCTTATTTAAAACTAAAGTTTTTTATATTAATAATTTTAATGACATTGAGTAAACATGGTGATATCTTTATTTATAATATATTAATTATATTAATATAATTTATTCTTATATCTATCTATTTAATAACTTTTATTTATAATGTATTTCTTGCTTTATTTTTAGAAGAGTAATTAGCTTAGTACATCTCCACTAAAGTAAAAGAACAATGATTTGATATTGTACTTAACTTACCTGTTGTTGCTACTTTTATAGTCTAAAAATCACTTGTATTTGCTATTATAATGGGTAGTTATGATTAATGTAATTCAATAATTAACTTTAAATTATTATGATTTATGTACTTGTGTTGTTTTGATTTTAAACTTAATAAATTATATGATTTAAAATTTTAATGAATATTACTATCCAGATCTTTCTCCAATATTATCCAATTTATGGGAACAGCGAGACGTCTCGATCTTGTCTTAGTCCCATCCCAACACCTAACGGGATCAGACAATTTTTGGGACGAGACGGGACATGAGATTAAAATTCAGTCTTAATTTTTTTTTGAGATGGGACACGAGACGGGGGTGTCACGATCCCGTGAATACCCCTACTTAGAATTTAAAAGAAGTCTCTCTCATTACTGTTAGCTAAACTTGGAGTGTATGGTGGAGGTCACAGAAAAGTAGAGCTAGTAAAATCTTGCTAATCAAGTTTATTCGGGTCGAGTTCAATTCGAGTTGGGCTCAATTTAGATTAAGCTTAAAGTATTATACTCTCTTGAAAAAGCTTATACAATCAAGCTCGACCTTAACTTTTTTCGATCGAGTTCGAGCTCAGCTAGAATTTCCAACTTTACATACATGTATAGTCAAAAATTTCAACAGTTGAGCTCAATTCAGGCTGGATTTAAAGAATCATATTCTCTTAAAAAAGCCAATATAATTAAGCTCAATCCTTTTTTTCAGGTGGGTAGCTTGAATCATCGGCTCTACAGAAAAGTGAGCTTGAGAAGTGATTTTTTAAAGGCTCTAAGTCTGATCAGAGATGATACTAGTGATGCATGACAATAGGAATATGATGCTTGAATGCTGCAATATGGTTTGTTGAGATTGGACAGTGGATCTTGGGTTTATTATTTCAAATTGGTTTTTGGTACCATATTCTATTTCAGAATTCCGTTTTCCTTTCTCCCTTTCTTCTTTTTGAATTTTTTCGAGTCCACATGTGCTCAATGCTTTCAATATGGTTTGTTGAGATTGGATAGTGGATATCAAGTTTATTCTAAGAGAAAACAATGTTGAAATGGGTCACTCGACGAAATGGGCTATTAGACTGTCCCTGGTCTTTAATTTTTTCCCCAGAGGATATCAATTCGCTGCCTTTTTTAGTGCCCGTTTGAATTTTAGTTAGATATAATAGATTATGAAAATAATTGATTAAATGATAGATTTTAATCATAATTGATTATGTTATAATGTAATCTGTTTGGATATTGTTTTTCTAAAATTGATTTTA